TTGGATGTCAGACAGTCGAGTGAGTAAATTCTAATATACTTAATGGTGGATGTTATACAGTCGAGGGACTGAAATATTTAATATACAAAATATACAAAACCAACTGACGCGAGCGCCACCTTCGCATCTATACACTGGAAGTAAATATATACATAAAATTGAAAATTAAGCATTATGACATCCAGCTGAAATTTTTTTGGCGCCCTTTTAAACCTACTTTATGATGTTTGAACCCCAAAAACGTTGTGACATCCGAATTTGGATGTCACATCGCAGACGGATGTTATAAAGATAGCAACATTTTTGCGACATGATGTCACAACGTCGGCAGGACGAATCTATATATATATATATATATATATATATATATATATATATATATATATATATATATATATATATATATAAAAGCCAAAAATGGCTTAGTCTTTGCCGACTAGTTAGAAAATAAACTAAGGAATCTTGGGATTTTCAGCAAAAATCTTACAATTGTGTACTCTTTTAAGTATTTATTCCAAGCTTTCGAACATGATTATGTTCATCTTCAGGGAGCTACAATATTAATTTTTACAAAGGTTATAAGAAACAATTTTGAAAAAACATATACTTACAACTCAGTGAGAATCGTTGCGTACATGTGGTGTTATATTAATAAAAAATTTACGGTACATCACAAAACGAGATAAAAATGGTTGATAACAATCATGTTAGCCAAAAAGTTTATATTTTTAATTTTACGTTAGGGCACATGGTCAAATTTTTAAAATAATTAATAAAATTCACATCTAACACCGTTCGGTACTAGAAACGAAAATGAAACTTTTTTATGTTACTATTTGAACTATTTTTAGCGTGGGTACAAAGAGTCAGTTGTCATATGCCTGTCAACCGTCAGTCAAACAGTAGGAAAAAGAAGAAACCGTCAATGGCCTATGTCACCTAAGCACTAACAGTTCAACATCTCTGATACTGCCAAACTGATAGTTGAGAGTCATATGATGAAATAAATTATTTAAATATTATATTTTATATATTAAATGTCAGAAATCATTGCAAGAAGGTATTACGGATAAAATTATGATTTGTATTTCAAGATGTCACTAATCCTATAAGCGACGTCACCCTCTGAGTGAACCATCCCAACGCACTAGGCTAAAAGGTTGTCATCCCCCTTGCCCGGGTTGGAACGGAGCACTCACCTGACGATATCGCGAACAGGGCCAGTGCATTTAGTTTTAATGCAAATTTGTAAAATTGGAAAAAACCAACTATGCAATAACAATTTGGGAAAAATACTCAAAAGGTACAAAGAAAAACGGATGAAATTTTGATTTGATAACAAAACATGTCACAAACCTGTTGGTGGTGTCACCAGCTGAGCAGGAACCAAAACACTCAAAAAGAGAGTTAAAGTCCCCCCTCAACTATTCTGTCACCACCCACAGGACAAGTGCATTTGGAGATGACTAAAAAGTGAAATTTTAACATTGGGGCCTATACATCAGAAATTCCTGACATGTCTCCACTAACAACACCATGTTTGTCAACATGTAACAGATATGAGAATATTTCACTAAGGTGTTTGATATCTGTTCTTTTATTAATGCAGTTTTCATTTTGATAGATATGTGCCATTTCTAGAAACTGTCTTTTAGAAATGTTCGTTTCTCTTTCTAGCACAGAGACACTATCATAATTCATTATATGGTCATTTTTGCTGACATGTTCTGCCAAAGCACATCTTTCAGGGTGTAATCTACAGTCACTACGGTGGGAGGTTATGCGATCTTTTAGGCATCTAGCCGTTTGTCCAATGTATATCTTTTGACATGTGCCACAAGGGATACTGTAAACTACACTACTCAAAGATGTTTTTGGAACTTTATCTTTTAATTTTGAAAACACTATGTTGTTAGTGAGGACAAGTTTTTCAGCGATTTTTATGTTTTCAAGTGGTTTCAATAATTTTGTGAGTTTAGGTGTAATTTCCTTAATGTAAGGCAATGTTACATATCGGATGTTTTGTACTGTGGAAACACTATTAGGTGGTATATCATTGACAACCTCACCTCTATTGCTAACGTTAACGTTTGAATCATTAATAACATTGCCATCTGTAAATATGGATGATGTGCTGAACAATATCTTTTTTAGTAAGTCAGGTGGATAGGAATTATCTAGGAATAACTGATATAAGAGTTTCAAATTTTTGTCATGGAAGGAAGGATCACTTATTTTGACAACTCTGTTTTTTATTTCTTTGATTGTATTGATTTTCGTAGACTGTTTATGGTAAGACCAATAATTTATATATCTGCCTGAACTAATAGGCTTTCTATACCAATCTACTACAATCTTGTTATTCCTACGGATGATCTTAGTATCTAGGAAGGGTACACTATTCAAAGGATCTTCAGTTTCTAATGTAAACTGGATATGTGGGTTGTAACTATTAAAGTACCATAAAATCTCATCCACGAAATTCGCTGGTAAGGTTAGAATAATGTCATCGACATATTTCTTTATAAAAGGAATATTCACAGGGATTACTTGTAAGATAATGTCAAGCACCTCATCCATTACAAAATTAGCAAGTATAGGGGAAATTGTACTACCCATTGGTGTACCATATATATATATATATATATATATATATATATATATATATATATATATATATATATATATATATATATATATATATATATCTGTATACAGGTACGAAAGTAAAAATGGACACCGTTCAAGAGTTTACTGCTAGTATGTATGGCATAAAGAATTGCATCAGAGTGAATGATGCGGAGATATCATATTTTTTTAAAAAATTACTCTGCAAAAAAAGACAGTGAACAGTTTTTAAAGAAAATAAAATGTTTTGAGTCGAACACTATACCACCATGCTGGATATTACTTCAACAAAAAAATTTACGAACTATTTTTGTCAATTCCATGTGGCTTAATGCTAAAGACCCTAAATGCATAAAACTCTAGCCTGAACACTGCGATTTGTTTTTAGATGATTATTTAAAACCAACACGGTTTTTTGGGGATCAAACACCTGTAACAATAGAAGATATTATAGAAACAACAAAAAAGAAAGCGATGACGAAGAATCTTCCGAAGTTGAAGATCAAAATTTTACTTCCGATGAATCAGATCCCGAATAATCTTTATTAATAAAAAAATAATTAATTAAAATACCTCTGTATTTATATTTTAATACAATAAAGTTTTTGTATCCCAATGAGCAAACACTCGTTTTTTTAACGTTGTATGGTATTAAAACGTTATTGGTTGAATATTTAACATTGAAATTTTAGTTGATTAGTTTTACGTACATGAAATATTATTTTCTAATATATTTTTCTAGTAATTTTCAACAGAATATTGAAAACTTTATAAAATAAGATTTTTATAACGTTTGGTTTCAAATAACGTTATTTTCCCCGACATTTGAACTATTTTGACACGTTTTATACGTTTGGCTATTAACCAGTTTTCGACTTTTTTTTAAGTACGTGTGCTCATTGAGATACAACGCTGGAACCTCTCTGTCGCACATATTCATTCGCAGCAATAATTCGCTTTTTAAAACGCGACAACCGGTATTCAAGACAGATTTTTCGCAGACAACCTTATATCACCGTGTTCGTAATGAAATTATATTTATTTTTACATAAGTTTTATTTATTAAACAGACGAGTGCAAATTATTAGTATCGACTTACCTGTTTATACCTGCCTACCCAATAGTTATGACTGCAAAAAACTAGTCAACCTAACGTTTGCATATTCTATAGTCTTCATACTTTTGATTAGTATGTAATTTGTCTATTAAACAAACAAGTACAATGTTTAAAAAAAAAATCATTTTAAAATTTTTAACTAATCATATCCTGGACTGAAATTTTTCAGTCAACCTATTCGCGATATATTACTTAATATATTACATTTTATTTAAAATACTTTTCATCCGTTAAACAGATGGGTGAAGGTCGACCTTACTTCGGATCCTGTACTATAACATGTACCTGTATTAGTTAATATTTTGCTTTGTCTTGTCCTAGTTATATATTTTTTGTTTTAAAGGATGAATAATTATTATTTTCCCGTTCAAATCGATTTTAAAAGGAAATTAATCAATGCAAATTTATAAAAATATCTTGAAAAGAACCACTAACAACATAAAACATAAATTGGGTTGTTACGTTTAGCTTTTGTTAAAATTCTGAAACACATTGTGCATGTTTATAAATTGAATTATTTAGTTATTTCCAGTGTAAAGGTTGAATTTTGATCATCTTACTATTTATTTTTCTTATTTGTTAGATATCTTGGATAAAATACTAAATTGCACCTATGACAAAAATTGATTTATAAATTTTCAGCAGTACGACCTTTATCTTTAATTTAGCAAAAAATTAGATTTTATACAGGGTGGCTCACGCTCAACGGGACGGAGCTTTATGGGAAAACGACCAAAGATATAAAAAATTCGTTTGGGAGGAATACGTAGGTTACAGACGGCTACAATTTAAAATTTGTTAGATGTATGCAGGATGTCCTACATAAGAAAAAAAAAATTAGTTCATTAAAAATTATTCAAACAAGAGTAAACAATTAATTTCTGGGAGACTTTTTTCCTTAAAAATTCAAATAAATCGAAAACTAATAATAATAGTAATAGGGAACCTTTAGTTAACTGACATTATTTTTGATGTAGTTTTTAATTCTAAAATAAAAAACAGGGTGTTCCATTAAAAATAATATAACTTTGTATATTTTCTCTTATGTGGGACATCCTGTATACATCTAACAAATTTTAAATTGTAGCCGTCTGTAACCTACGTATTCCTCCCAAACGAATTTTTTATATCTTTGGTCGTTTTCCCATAAAGGTCCATCCCGTTGAGCGTGAGCCACCCTGTATATTATATATTTAGAATCAGTCCATTTAACTAATGTTTTATCCATACGGTTTTTATAACAATAGATACTCACGTCTCTACGCTGTCAGTATTAAACTCGTCCCAATTCCTCGAACTCGGCTCCGGTTCAGTGCTTAGCAAACTCAGCGTATGTCTACCGGTCGGCTCGTCCAGATTCAAGTCTCTAAACATAGGCGGCGCCACCAATCTCCCATCCAGCACGTTTTCCACCGTCAACTCGACGGAACGAGTCACTCGCAAATCTTCTATGATCGTCGACAAGGGAATATGCGGGAACAGAGTTTGCACTTGCCTTGCCATCGCGTCCAGTTGGGAATTCGTGGCGGCCATGTGGTTCTGGCGGATGGCCTGCACGTGACTGACTTCGACAGAGAAGCTCGGCAACCAGGATACGTATCTAGAACCTGTAGGGAAATATTTTATTTCAGTACACTTGAGTGTAATCCAGGCGTGCGTTGCCCATGCTTGTTGTACTCCATTCTTAGGCCTAAGATTAAATATGCGAATCTGAATCTGATTACGCGGCTACATATAAGATGTCAAAGCATATAAAGAGCGATATAATTGACAGAAAGGCAGAAGAAGGTTGCCTAGAAGATCTGGAAACCCTCATAAATAAATACGTACCATCGAAATGGAAAAAGTGATTGAAAGGTCGCCTGGTGTTCTCCTGCGGATCGGCTTGCAGCTCCGGTGGTTCCAAACTTGTAACAGACGGATTCTGAATGTTCAAAGTCATCCTGCAAGTAGGACAAGAGGTATCCTGCTCCAGCCACGATAACAAACAAGTGCTAGAACATAAACGAACGTCAATTTTATTTATTCTTTAAAATAGCTTTTGAAAATCGTACTTATGAAACAGATGGCCGCACGGTAACTTCCTGGCTGCGTCCATGTTCTCCCAGCAGATAGCGCAGTTGTCTGAGTTTTCCTGCAATTCCGTTTTGGTAGCCATCGGGTAGTTTTGCTCGAGATGGTTTCTCACCCACAAATAATTTCTGTGCTTCTTGTACTTTCTTTGGATTTCGTGAAACAGGAATCGAAGTTGCATGCATATGACTAAACTGGCCATCGACAAAAATATGTTACTCCACAGCAACATGTGTAGGTGATGGATAAGGTCGATTATTAGTGCCGTTAGATCAAAGCCGAGTTCGAAGTAATATGATACGGGACCGCGCTTATCCAGAGTTCTGCTCTCTTCGCTGGTCGCCGGTGTGGTGCTCTCGTTTCTGATGTCGTACAAGTGAAAGGCGTACCGAATTATCACGTGAAGAGTACGAATGGCGAGTAGAAGTACCTTAAAAAAAATTGAATAATATTTTTAAAGGCCATAGGAAACTTTTGATAAACTACGTTAGGAAACAATTTCCCTTTAGATATCACTGGAAGTCTAAGAAATAATTATTAAAGTTTAAACTTTTTTGTCTCGTGTGCCAGTAAATCCAAAGAATTTAATTTTTTTTGTCAAATGCCTACTTTTATTTTTCTTTATTATTATTATTATTTTTTAATTGGATGGTTGGTTAGTTATTATAAATTAAAACGTAATTTTTAGTGTCTGCAATTATATCTGTTTAGTATTTTTGCCAGTAGTAGAATTTTTTAAAAGCATAAATCCCTTAATTGCATTTAGGCGGTACCCCGCGCAAATAAAATAATTGAAACATTATTATGTTCTCTAATAAACTAGAAGACAGAAACTTCATACACATATAATATTCGAAAATCGATATATGTGACTTTTCTAATTTTTAAGGTATTTATTAAGTTTGACTCATTCTTCAGCAAATCGTCAAAGAATATTTTCCTCTAGTAAATCTGCTGAAGTAAAAGTAGCGTAATAAGCATCCACTACTGTAGGTTGGCTCCATAAAAAAAAAAACATCAAGATAATCATTATGTTTTTATTTAAAATGAAACAACGAATTAATAGGGCATCATAAAAAGAACATGCATGCCAAACACAACGATTTTGAATTATCTGATTCAGACTGATCTAAAAGAAGTAGGTATCTATTATTTTTCATTGTTTCTTTTTTTGTTTCCGTACGTTAAGTATATATTAAAAATGTTATTATTTGTTTTTATTCTTTGTTTACTTTCTAATTTGTACCAATAAAAACTGCCAGGAGTTACATGGGGCCAATTTACCGACGTCCACATATTTTATGCATAATTGCATAGATAAGATAGCAGTTCTTTGTTGCATTATTATTAACTTTACCTTTTATATTGTATCTAGATTCATTCTTTGCTTAGCATTTGGGCAATAAACAAGCTTTGTATTTTATATAATAAATAATAAAATTTTTAAAAAAGTATTTTCGGTGTTTGAAAATCTATCTGGCGCAGTCAGTAGGATTTGTGCGAGTCGCGAAAAGAACTGAAAATTCGCTTTTGTCGTTACCAGAACTCTTTCCGGACTTTAACGTTTTAACGTTTTAAGTGCAAATCCGATACGAATCTACCCTCAAGAAACAACAACCACCGACAAGACTTCAAGTTGCAGAGAATCACTAGCAGTAGAAAAGAAGCTTCGACGAACTCCATTCAAAGGGGTGAGTGCCAAGTTCCTTTTAACCTTCCTAAAAGTTTTATATCTAGAAACAGATAGTAATTAAATATATATTATTTTTCAATTTATTTTTGAATAAATGAATTTATTAAGAATTTAATGAATGAAATTGATGAAATATTAAATCAATTCAGTAATCTTAATATTGAATCTGAAGAAAGTAATAATACTACTATTTTAAGTGAAAGTGAAAATTTAAATTTTGACAATATGGTTCCTCCAATACCCCCCGTGCCTGTAGCAGCACCTCGCGCTATTAACTGGGATCTTTTTAGGTCCAAAGTGTCAAATATTAAGCCATATGATGGCGATAGTAATACTTTGAACAAATTTATTTCTCGTTGTGAAAATTTAATAGCAACTTATAGAGATTATAATGATCCAGAATTTAATGGTCACATTTTTGAGTGTATACAAGAAAAATTGATAGGCAAGGCTGAAGCCATGGTAGGAAACCGGGTTGAACTTAGTGATTGGCGTTCATTAAGGAATGCATTAGAGCAGTGTTTTTCCGATCGACGGAATTTAGATTGTATAACGCAAGAATTAACTAGAACTACCCCGTATAAAAATGAAAACTTAATAGATTTTGGCACGAGACTACAATTATTACGTAGCAGTGCAGTACAAAGAATAAGTTATGATATAAATCTTAACGCGCAAGAAAAACTTTGTCAAATAAATCATTGCGACAAAACAGCCCTAAACACCTTTATTGCAGGTTGCACAGGTGTATTAAAGAATAATATGCATTTAAAACAACCAGCATCACTGGAAGATGCTATGGCTTACGTAACCGATTACGAAAATTTCGGAAAATTATACGGCAACACTAATGACCAACATAATTTTTCAAGAAACAATTTTCAAAAAACTAATTTTAAAAATAATACTAATAATAATTTTGTTCCAAAACAATTTAATAATAATTTTCAACCAAATCAATATCATCAAAATGTTAATCAGCCAATACAAAGGCAATACCAAGATTTTCAATTACAACCACAAAATTTTCGACCAGTTTGGTCTAGTCAACCCATTAATGTCCAACCACGTCAGGTAAATAGAAATTATCCGACAAATGCTCAAGTTTTTGGACCTCCCCGTAACGTTTTTAAACCCAACCAAATACCCCAAAATCAACTTCCCAAACCTGAGCCAATGTCGACAACATCGAGAAACCCCTCGATGTACAATATAAAGCAGTTTAATCCGAATTATAGATTTAATAATAACAATAACAACAGAAGATTTAATTATTTCCAAAATAACAGTAATCAAAAACCTAACTTTACTTCTGAAGAATTATTTGTTAATAATTATGATGACAATCAAAATACAGACAATTTTGATTATCGCCCAACCTTAAATAAAAATAATGAAGAAGATGAAACTCAAATCGATGAGTATTCCCAAAATGCAAATTTTCGAATAAATGCCTCGAACAAAGAAATGACTTAGTAGAATTTAATCTCATTTCAAACAATCCACTCCCATACATAGAAATAGAAAACCCCAAATTAAAATTGTTAATAGACACGGGCAGTACCAAATCAATTTTAAAACCCTCTATTATGGAAAAATATTACCCCGATTGTATTTATCAATCAAATGTTTTTCTTTCTACTTCCCTTGGTAGTCAAAATATCAGGTATCAAGCCGAGATACCAGCTTTCCAAGAATTTAATGATAATCACTATATTAACTTCCTTTTGTATGATTTCCACGAATTTTATGATGGAGTCATTGGCCTTAATGATTTATTAGCGATGAATTTTAATATCGACTTAATTAATAAAAAATTGATTAGTGATCATGCTATAATACCAATAAAATACAGAAAATCTAATGAAATAAAATTTGAAATTTGCATAGGTCCAAGTGAAAAATTATTGAAAAAATTACCTGTCAGTATTTCAGACGGTGATATTTTAGTAAATAAAATAAAATTAGGCGAAATTCATATACCTGAAACATTAACTTTTGCGGAAAACGGGTTTGCTGCACTCGAAATAATAAACCAAACAGATAAAAATATTTGTGTTACGCTAAATGAACCAATACCAGCTACCCCTTTTAATTCATTAAATCATGAAATTTATAAATTTGAATGTTTTAATTCTCCTCAACCAAATATAAAGAAAATCAATATAAATAAATTATTGAGAACGGAACATATGAATTCCGAGGAAAAGGAAAGCATTATTAAACTATGTAATCAATTTTCTGATATATTTTTAAAACCTGGAGACCCTTTGACCTTTACATCAAAAATAAAACATGTAATTAAAACAACTGATGAAATTCCCATTCATGTTAAATCTTATAGATACCCTTACGCGCATAAAGAAGAAGTCCGTAGACAAATTAATGAAATGTTAGAAAATAAAATAATTGCGGCATCGTCCAGTCCTTGGTCATCTCCAATTTGGATAGTACCAAAGAAAATGGATGCGTCGGGACGACAAAAATGGCGTCTCGTTATAGATTATCGGAAACTAAACGATAAAACCATCGGAGATAGGTACCCGATACCCAATATTACTGATATATTGGACAAATTAGGTAGAGCCCAATATTTTACTACCCTTGATCTTGCTAGCGGCTTCCATCAAATTGAGATGAGTAAGTGTTCCATTGAAAAAACTGCTTTTAACGTAGACAATGGACACTACGAGTTTCTGAGGATGCCGTTTGGTCTTAAAAATTCACCCAGTACTTTTCAGCGAGCGATGGACGAAGTTTTGAAAGAACTTCAAAATAAAATATGTTGTGTCTTCATGGACGATATAATAATATTTAGCACAAGTTTACAGGAACATATACAAAATCTTAAGTTAGTTTTTTCCAAACTTAGGGAAGCAAATTTAAAAATACAACTCGACAAGTGTGAGTTTTTACAAAAAGAAGTCGAATTTCTTGGCCATGTGGTAACACCACAAGGTATCAAACCCAATCCTAAGAAAATTCAATCAATAAAAAATTTTCCAATTCCAAAAACTCAGAAAGAGATAAAATCCTTTCTAGGAGTACTCGGTTATTACCGAAAATTTATTAAGAATTTTGCGAATATAACAAAACCCTTAACAACTTGTTTAAAAAAAGACCGTAAAGTTGAACATACAAAAGAATTCGTAAATTGCTTTAATCACTGTAAAAATTTATTGACTTCTGAGCCAATACTGGCATATCCAGATTTTGAAAAACCATTTGAACTTATGACTGATGCTTCAAAGTATGCAATTGGGGCAGTCTTAAGCCAAGACGGTCACCCTATATGCTATGCATCCAGAACTTTAAACTCAGCTGAAATTAATTATTCAGTTATTGAGAAAGAATTACTCGCGGTAGTATGGGGATGTAAGTACCACCGCCCTTATTTATTTGGTCACCCTTTTATTATAAAAACGGACCACAAACCATTACAATGGCTTTTTTCCCTTAAAGAACCCAATTCGCGATTAGTTAGGTGGCGCTTAAAATTAGAGGAATTCGATTATAAAATCGAATACCAAAAAGGAAAAAATAATCAAGTTGCTGATGCGTTATCACGCATACCTCCTAATATAGATTTAAATGCATTAGAAACAGCATCATTAGATGTAAATATAGACGATATAGACCAAATAATTAATGATGAACTTGAAAGAATGACAGTATTGCCAAATTTAAGTGAAAACGAAATTTCTAGTATTTTAAACGAAAAACCTAAAATCAATATT